ATTATTCCGTCGGAAGCTAATCCGATACTTTGATAGCAGTTTGGATTTAACGTCGATCTATATAACACCCATCTAGCTGAAAATTGTCAAATCCCTGAAAGAGACCAGAGAATCACTTTCTGTGAAAATAATAAAAAATTATTTAAACACATAATTTAACAATAAAAATAAACATTAAATCTGATGGAATGAAAAAACAGAATTTATACAGTCAACCCATATAATTATATAACCAGGATAAGGTTTAGATAATGAAACTAATAATAATAATTATAATGATGATGATCACGGCATTACTGGGATTAACATATTATGCGGGTTTTGTACCATGCCTATATTTCAGAGGGAAGCTGAGGGACCATCTCATCTAATCGACATCGACCAACCTAAGATCTTGAGCTCAGCCAAGTAAATAGATCGAGGCCATGCTATAATCCCAGCCCACTTCCAGGCCCGTTTTGGAAGAATCCGGATCTCCTACTCACTCTATCCACAGGATATTACAGCTATACATTGGAAACATGAATATGTAAAGATGTTCTCAATGTACAGCTCTGTGGAGTCCGGATTTCCTGCATTCGGATGGTGTATGCCAAGGTGCACTTCCATTATGAGGGTCCTGATATCGGTTAGTGTCTTATTTTTTATATTTTAAAATAAAAAATCTAAAAAATAAATGAAGATCATTTTGGATTATCTGGCATGGAGAAAAAAACCCATCTATGTGAAAAATAATAAGAGAATACTTAAGATTAGAAAAATTTTGAACAGGGAGTTCTATTGATGAATGGCATAAGAAAAAAAAATAGAGAAAATTCCCGATAGGTGCCCAGTGCTTTAGGCCGAGTGCCAATTTAGTATTTGAACTTTCGAAATGCGACAATCTAGTACCTACCATTAATGGACTGTCGGTTATGTATATCACATGACCTCATGTACAATTTAAGATTTTTGAAAATGTCAAAATTACTCTTGAAAATAAAATACATTGTTCATCATCTTCTTTCTCAAGAAAATGAAGATCCAGTTCCGGAAACCCAAATCTCTTGATGGAGGTGAAGCCTCCATCCACCACCAAATTATGGCCGCTCACGTATTTGGCATCATCAGAGGCAACGTACAATTCGGTATTTGCAATGTCTTCAGCTTCACAGTTGGCCTCAGCCAACTCTCCGGGACCCTGAACCATCTCCACAACGTGTTGTTCATCAATGCTGGGAAACATCTTAACCATTTCTGCCATCACAAACGATGTCGGAATGGCGAATGGCAAGATGCAATTAACCCGAATGCCATACTTGCACATCTCGACCGCAACTGCAAGTGAGAACTAAGAAGAAGCATTCACTTCAAAGCCCAAAACCTCTTTTTTACAAAATTGATCTGATCGAGGTATTTGTTTTGGGGTGATAAACCCTAACCGGTATTATCGTACTTGCATAGAACCTTACACTTGACCACATTACAATAGACATAGAATCCTGGTGCCAGCATGATCCACACCATGGCTAGAACCAACTTCCAAGCTTTGTCTGCACCCATGTCCTCCATGTACACCCCATCGAACTTCATCCCTTATCCACCCTGAATACGGGTAAGCTTGGGTGCACCAAACAAGCCAACATATGAACTAGCCAGACATTCTTCTTCACACCGAAGAATGCTTGCAGTAGTGGCTCTGGCCACGCCTGATTCCACCCCAACATCGCCACGATCTCGCTCATCTTTCGATCGCAAAACCAGTTGAACTCCTTGCTAAAGTGTCTAGTTCCTTTGTTCAACACCTCATCCCATGTGAGTCCCCTAAGAAGAGTGAAGGAAGCGTAGTTCGCTTCGCATTTTTGTATTGGGTTGAGCATTCGCTCAAACCCACTTTTCTGAAATTCGATGGATTCGAAGTCTTTGTAGAATGCTTGGTTCAGGAGTGCTTCCAAGTAGAACAGTGTGCTTATTGGTTCTTGGAAAATGAAACCTTTACGTCATAAAGTTGGAGAAGAGTATAGATGCACTCAGACTCTGCAACCCATCTGCCGGAGCTAGAGGGTGAGAGATTGGCTCAAAGTCCCGACCGAAGACTGGGCTTCAGACACCAAGTTGAGAAATGATTCAATGACTGAGTCTTGATGTTTGAGTCCTTTGATTGCACTCATCACCATCACAGGGTTGATATTTTTCGGCACCAGATGTGATGAATTGCTACATACCTTGAGACCAGACTTCAGGTTGTGGCAGTAGATCTCAAGCTTGTTGAGCTTCTTCTCTAACTCGGACATGGAGTACTTAAGTCAAGAAGCTTCTTGGAGATCTTCATCTCTCTTCTAAGTGGCTTCAATGAGCCTCTGCAACAGGTCTACGACGACGAGCTTCCATTGCTCTTCCTTGGCGGTTGAAGACGACGATAACGAGATCCCTCTCTATAGTTGTTGCAGACTTGTAGATTGCATATGGTTGATAAAGAAAATTAGATGACACTTGAAGGACATTTGTGTCTTTTCCCATAACACTTAACAGCTAGTTAACAGCAGGTAGTAGATTGTCGCATTTCAAAAGTTCGGATACTAGATTGTTGCATTTTAAAGTTTGGATACTAAATTGACACTCGGCCTAAAGTACAGGGTACCTATCAGAAATTTTCCCAAAAAATTATTCTTCTTCTCCCATTTTAAAAGGATGCCATCAACAATACCCTCGTGCAAGGTTTTGCTACGGTGGATCTATGTAGAAGCTAGTGTGGGCAGTTACCCTCACTGAAATTTGAAACTGCTTTATATGTATAAGAAGAAAATTATTTTTTTTAGAATTGCTGCCACTCAAATAAAATAGTAAGGGTCAAATTTTCTTAAATGAGATCTTTTTCATGGTTTAAAAGGCCTTTTTCATGGTTTAAAAGGCCTCAAAGGTCCTGGATCCGCCACTGAGTGTATTTGCAAGAAGAATCTTTTTTCTTCTCACTTAAAGACCCAATTTCAGCAAGGTGGAAACTACACAAGTGCTGCCAACAACGTAAAACTTCTGCAAGTTCTCAAGCCATTGTTCAACAATATTAACTTAAGTTAGATCTCAAACCATTATTAAATACCATAGATATTGACAAAAAACCCAGAGAAACAGCAGCTCTCTAACTCAGTCACTTCACTAGATAATTGGCTCCTCTAGTCCTTGAATGCCTGTAAGTCTAATACTTCTTCTCTGAAGTTGCAATAGTTAATGGCGTTGAAGCTTAAAGAAAAAAAAAAAAAAAAAAGAGTTCTAAAATTGTTAATGACATCCATCGAGTACTAGGATTTGGTTGAGTTTTCCTCTTTCCTTTGAGTTTCCTTTTTATTATTACTTTTTTTTTTTGTCTTGCTCTTTTTTTTTAATTTACATCATACGAAATTACGAACGTAATGGAAAACTTGCCATTTAGTTTTCCCGCACATGTAAACCGGTTGCCCATGTGAAAGTGCATCCTATACATACTATTCCGAGTGCAGGAAATCCAGACTCTCATGTGAGTAGGCATGGATAGCATCGCTGTGTGTAGGAGATCCGAGCTCCGTTTGGAAACTTGCCATTAATTGAGCATTGGAACGTTTAGAGTTTTCACCAAACATGGTTTCATGGAAATAGGGCCTATCATGCAATGCCCGAAGCCACTGCATGAAAAATCCGGATATGCTCTTCACAGACCACGGACCTCACAGCATGTACCAGACACGCATCAGAAACATCTCCAATACTTGTAAACTAATATTTATGAAAAATGTTAACAATGCACAGTGGGATGAAAGCCCTCTACTCAATCTCTACCATCGAACACAGCTTGATGTTTAGTCGTCACTATTAGCACCAACTTCCAATTCTCCCTACCAACTACTTCAACTTTGGAATTTCAAAGAGAGCTAGAACCATTTTCCCCCAACACTTCATTAGCCAAAAGAAAAGACAATTAAGAATCAGAATGGTTGTTTTAATGTGTTTTATCACTAGACACAAAAGGTCATAAACTCATGACTCGTGACGCGTGAGAGTGTCGTGTCGTGAGGCCAAGTGACTATTTATTGGGCTTTGATTAGCTTTTTTTTTCTCATTTCTCTACATGTCATGCCACCTTTGTTGACTAGAAGGTGAAGAGCAGGTTGTCAATGAGTTGGTTCTGTCCCCCCCACCCTCTCTGTGCCTGGACCCATGGCCTTTTATTTTCCTCCCCTGTTTTGAATTAAATTATTCTTAAATTATAAAACAAAAAAAAAATAGTCATGGCGAGTCTATCACGCATAGAACCCATAACGTAAGATAATTGGGTAATGACATCGCATCATAAATTTCAAATTGAGACTGTTTAACCATATGCTGTGTTTGCTTAGAAGGAAAATTAGGCAAACAGAGATCATTATGGCTATGTTTGAGTAAAATTCCTTGGAAACCTTCCCTCAACTTTTTATTTCATTTTCATTTTCTATCAAACCAAACAAAGCCATAATGTTATTGTTGGTTCCAAAATCCAAATCAAATGCATCAAAAGAATAACTGCAGCCTATAAGAGAAAGAAAACAAAAACAAGGACCAAGTTGCACGGTGCAACCAGCTCTGCTGGTCGTAGCGGAAACATGGGATCGAATCCCGCCTGCACCTGGGTTGGGGGATGTGCTACACTGCTACCCCGGTTTAGCCCACTAGCCCTTAAGGATATCAAAAAAACAAAACAAGGACCAAGTATCTTATCAACTTTTCCTAAACTACTAAAGAACCGAGGAACCGGGAGTTCCTTTCATTTCACCCATACTACTATCCATTTCACAGTTGAATTCCTTGTACCTCTAACGATTCCAAATGAACCGTCTAATTCCCATTATCAAGTTATTTCAAGCTATCTATGGCTGGCTCTTCCCATTAGTATTCCCCCAATGCTTTATGGATCACATAACCAAATAAATTTGTTTATATCCTTCTTACTGATCGAGAATGATGAAGACCACACAAATGAAAGTACATAAAAGTGATTCTTTCATCCAATATAAGTGCTAAGAATTTTGATTTATGAAATATAATAGACGAGAAAGGAAAGAAAGGGAGATAAGGAAGAAAAATGAACGAGATACAAATTTTTCAACTATAAAAATTGACAAAAATCTATGAAAATTAAAAACAAAAAAAAAAATAAAAGTTACAAAGAGATGTTCAAGGGAAGTATGAATTACCACCACTGATGAACAAGAACTCCACTCGCTCTGAGAGAAGTAAAAAGCTCCAAGCATTGGCTATAAGTATTTTGATACTTGGAAGTCCTCTCGCCAGGGCAGCATTTCTGCCATCTATTGTAGTGGCATTCGAGGAAGATCTCATCAATCAAACAAATAGCCCCAGTCTCGAACAACCTTGGGATCAAATCAAATTCAGTCCCTTCCACGTCCATTTTCATTACCACAAAATCTCTCTCCGAGACAGTATTTTTTAACCAATGCGCAAAGTCGAAACCACGAATCTTATCAATGTCCCCCACGAAATTAGTAGAAGATTGAACTGGTCGAATCCGACCCATTCCTCTACCTCCCGCTACATTTTTATGACCTGGGTCTCGGTTAATTTCGAAGAACAAGGATTCATTCCTCACCCACGCTGCGTACGGCAAGAGAGTAACTCCTTTCTTCGTTTGGTACTCTTGGTGGAAAGTTTTATCAGCTTCAATGGCATAGATTGCAAAGGTTTTGTTCTGTTTGGGATATTGCTTCCTGAACCAGCTGGCAATGCTGGACCCGTAACTCCGAGCCCCTACATCGACGTAAACATATCTCTGCTTGAAGCTTATATCGACCATTGAAGGAAGATACTTTACGTTCTTTATGTTCCTCTTCAAAGTAAGCCAAGGCTTTAACGGCTCCTCTGTAATTAACGGCTCTGCTTTCCGGATCAGTTCCTGTTTATACCCCGGAACAGAACACATATTAACCGATGTGCTATGGGGCTTCTTCGCCGTCCCATGGCTAAGAATCATTTCACTTTCTTTCTTCAGGACGATCTCGCGAATAGACGGCATCGAAGAATCAGGGCCATCAATTTCACGCGACCGAACCAACCTACAGCAATTGAACAAACTTAGAAAAGAATTGAAGCTGTACATGTCTTTAGCCGAAGCCGTGTGGACGACCAAAAACCCTTCGGGTTTAAGCGTCCTACAAACCTCAGAAGCAAACTCCAACGGTCTAACAGACCGGTCAAGCCCACCGGCACCTGAGAACTCGAAATCAAAGGTATTTTTCTTGAACGGCTGGCGAAAGGCTTGACCAGATACTACTAATGGCGGGGATTTCTTCTTAGAGATTCCGATTGCGTCGGGAAGACCGACTTCCTTGAGAGCAAAGACGTCTTGCCCGCTCACGGTTTCGATGCACAAGGCTTTGGACCCCGGCGAGAGATAGCCTTGGGCAATCAGATCTTGGAAGATCGCCGAGTGGTAGTCGACGGACTTACGCCATTCTTTGCTGGTCCAGAGGTCACGAAGAGCCGTGCTGGAAGAAGATCCGACGCTGTCGACGACAACGGAGGAGGCGCCGATCCGTACGGCACCGCTGCCGGCAAAGTTGAAGTTTTCGGGAGAGGAGAAGAAGCAAAAGTCAGCGGCATCGCAAGATCCGCCCCTGATAATGACAACGTATACAAAACGAAGGAGGAAAATAAAAACACAAAAGAAAAGCACACGGACGAGAATATTTCTCAAGAAGCTTGGTTTCCCTGTCGTAATCTCCATGACTGATAACTGAGAGAAGTGTTTTTGTTGTGTTGAAAGAATGAATGAAAAAAAAAATGATAATAATAATAATAATAAAGAATGATCTGTAAACGAGAGAGAAAGACTAAAGCCTAGCGAGAGCAGAAACGAGCGGAGGTATGGTTAGCGCCGATTAGAGTGCTCCGGGATTGACAGACAGATAAGAAACGAAAATAAGTAGAGCTTCGGAGGGTGAAAGGAGGATGCATGATTGATTTCCTCGAATATATCTTTCTCATAATAGATCCTTTTCCCTTTTCATTTCGCTTCTTCACAGACTCTCTCTCGAAAGTTGAATGAAGGTTGGTCTATACAGGAAAAGCGGATAACACTGGGGATGGGGAACAGGAACAGGCGAAGAAGGAATAAAAGGTGGAAGGAACGCGGCAGGACACCGAAACGGTCGGTCGCCAAAGGGGGGTAGTATGCTCTCGGCTATCGCTTCAATTGACTGTACATTCCAGCAATGCCATTGGTTGTTCTTTGAAATAACGAAATTACCACCAATGGGCAATGGCGCTAGCACTCAATATTGGCAGGTGGCACTTGACAGTTGACACAAGGCAAGGCAATAGGTGTCTCGTCTATCACAAGAGGACTTCTGACACGGCGTAGACCTAACGGTAAAAGCTTAGTGCTTTGAAGCATAGATTTGTTGGTCCAACTCCTACATTGGGACTCTTTCAATAGTTTTATTTAAGTTAAAAGAAACTGTTAACAATCATTGTAATTAATAAAAAAATATAAGCTCATCCACATCCAGATTCCAGAGCGGATCATCCATTTTCTTTTTGCTTATTTGCGTTTTAACTTTATAATGTGGGGCCGGCTTTTCCCTTCAACTTCAATTGGTGGGGTCCATTTCTATGTTAAGTGCCAAAAGCGGTGCATTTGACACCTTATCTTACATATCCAATTATCCATGCCATCATTATCAAGTTTCACGCTGGTCCCCAGTTCTCGGCACTTTCCTTCTTTGTTTTCTTTTTCTTATGCCACCTTCTTTGTTTTTTTCCTCCTTTTTTTTCCTTTCTAATTATTATGTATCGTAATGGAGTAATGGAGGTATCATGGAGATGGTCGACTCGGGTCGGGTCTAAATTGAATCGATTTTGAATCAATTATTAATTGGGACAAAATTATAAATTGATAATAAATAATATTTTTTTTTAATTTTAAACTTTGTTAACATAACCTTAACAAAAATGATAAAAAAAACTAAATTGTTTATATATTAATAGATTAAACATTTTTAATTATATGATAAAATTTATATAAAAAATTATTATATATTTAATAAAATAATTAGTTCTAAAGATCGGAATAAATGATAATAAGAACCGATTCAATTATTAATTAGGACTCATAGCCATTATAATCGGTTCAGATAGACACAACCCATTGACAGTCCTATTCAGCACGAGTAAATTTTTGATTTACACAATAAACAACACATTAGAAAATTCTGATATTCACTATCACAGTAACAAATAGTCAATGAAGTTGGAACTTGGAAGGTATATGTCCTTCCCAATTCCCTTTTTATCTTAACCATAAGAGTTATTATATTAGAAATCGGCTTCCATCTGGACAAATCTATACCTATATCGATCTAACAGTCTTTTGCAACGATTGCATTCTTCAAATGGCTTTGCCCCGATCAAAGCCGAACTCATTCCGAAAAGAAATTAAAAAAAACATATAGGAGGTATTATATTGCATTTCTCAATAGTCAATAACTCGGTAGTGATTCAAATCAATGATCCAACGATTGCATTCTTCAAATATTTTTGAGCCTTGAAAAGCATTATTTTTTCTTTTCCGCGTGGTTGTGGTTAGCCTTTTAACAGTTTTGGTTTAATCATTGATTCATTGTTTAAGGAAATTGGACTGGTTAGACTATTGGACCGGTTGAACCTTGACCTCATCCAAAGAATTGAAATTGTTAAAAGGTTTAATAAAAACCGGTTGATTGGACGGTTTAATCGAAAAATCAGTGAATTGGTTCCAATTTCAATTAAAGAAAATGTGAATTGATAAGCTTGAAGCCTAATCATTTGCTTTCAACACTAAGGAATTTACCATTCATTCATACTATAAATTGTAAATTATAGTATATATAATGTGTCTATTTGGTATCTATGCTGTTGCTCCAGAAAACAGTGACACATTAGCGTTACATCAGAAAAAAAAAAAAAACAGTGTTCTAGGAAATGTCTGCTTGTTTGGAACCATTTTTTCATAAAAAATAGTATTCTAAGCCATGCCTCAGAAATCGGGAACGCATGGATTGGAGCAACACCGAATTTGGTGTTTCCTTTATCTACAACTCATTGCTGCCAATAGGGACATGAAGTGGCAATGACAAGGACCTGACGTAGCACTAGATAATAGGTACTAGTGTTGAAAATGTTTCCTAGAGCATTGGTACCAAACAGAAAACGTTATTGTTGCTCTAGGAAACGTCCTTCCTAACAGCAACATTTCCAAACAAAAAAAAAAGACACCATTTTCTCTTCCAACCCACACATCGACAGCACCGTCTTTTCTTCCAATCCACACATCAAAAAACGGCGTTGTATCTACAGCATTGATGCCAAACATATACAATATTTATAAAAAATTTACGAAACCTCCCTGACTGGTTGTTGCTGAAACCTCCTCTAAATTTTGGTAATTACAATCACCTCCCAGATCCCATGAACTTTATGGCATAGTTGCAAGTTTTTCCCCTTTGTTAGAATCCCCTCTAAAAAGACATGAAAATGTCCCAAATTTTCTCTTCATATGAATTACTAGTCCAAACCCTTTCAATCTCTTCTCAATTGATTTATTTTTTCAAACTTGCCCTTTATATCAATTGCTTATTGCTCTAATGTAAAGGTGCTACTTTAAATTTTCTATTTTTTATTGTTGTTTATAAATTTTGTATTTTTTTCTTTCTACAAACCTCCTCAATAGTAACTATATGGGTATTTTAGACATTTTTGTGTATCTTCTTAGAGGGTTAGTACCATATATTTTGTGCCTAGTGCCACTTTGGTCCTTAAACTTTAAAATGCAACGATACAATACTTGAACTTACAAAACATGACAATCCAGTACTTGCCATTAATCAGCAGTTAACCTGTTGTTAAGTGACATTTGAAAAGGACACAAATGCCCCTTGAGTGTCATTTAATTTTCTTTATCAACTATCTAAACGTTGACAAAAAATTAACAGTCCCAAAATCCTTGCTTCTTCCATTCAAGAAAGTTGGGGTTATGTTTGAGTGGGCATTCTCGTGACCCCAACTTTCTTAAATAGAAGAGGCAAGGATTTGGGACTATTAATTTTTTTGTCAATGTTTGGATAGTTGATAAAGAAAATTAGATGACACTTGAAGGGCATTGTGTCTTTTTAAAATATCACTTAACGGTTAATTAACAGCTAATTAACAAAAGGTATTGGATTGTCACGTTTTGAAAGTTCGGGTATTGAATTATCGCATTTTAAAGTTCGAGGACCAAAGTGACACTAGACCTAGGGGTGAGCATTCGGTTAAAAAACAAACCAAATAAATTGAAATTTTAAAAACCAAATTACAAGAAAACCGAAATAACTAAAATAAAAAATTTCAGTTAGGTTTTTAGTTAAAAACCGAATTTAATTAATATATATATAATATTATATATTATAACCTATAATATATATTATAATATATTATGAAATTGAATTTCATTATAATACATTATATATAATATATGTTATATTACATATTATATAATGAATTTTGGTTATTTTGGTTTTTTCGGTTAATTGAATTTCTAACTCTAAAAATCAAAAAAACCAAACCGAATTACCCAAAAACCGAAAAACCAAAACCAAAATTTTTGGTTTGGTATTTCGGTTTTAACCGAATAATGCTCACCCCTAACTAGACCCAAAGTATAGGGTATTAATCGGGAATTTTCCCTATAACATAAGGGGTTTACTTGCAACTATATAAAAAAAGTTAAGAGAAGGCTATTGCAATTACCAAAGTTCAAGAGAGATTTCAACAATGGTCAAAAACTTTAGGGAAGGTTTCAACAATTTACCAATCTATTATATATCTATATCTATATTTACCCATTCTATTATGAAATTTATCCCAATTAATTGATGGATGTTGTTTTATTTTTTGATTTCTTTTTGAAGAGCTATACAACAGGATAGTCCATGCCCCCACCCATAACCCCCAATGCAGGCGCAAGCAGGATTCGATCTCAAGCATCCACTACAATTAGTTGATTGGCACCTTCAAATCGAAGTCACATCTACCTCCACAGCATGTATCCAAGAAAAGAAAAACGTCTTGCACCACATCTCAACTGTGTGTTAAAAACATCTCTTAATGACAAATAAAAAGATGTTCTCAATGGATGCTATGGGCCGTTTTAGGAAGTGTTCTATGGGGGCAGATGTAGACTCTTCATCCATGAAACTTTTTAATTTGGATACTGAGTTTTGTGCACCCGTGAATGGAAAACCAACACGTCAACCAGGCCAACGTTAACGTGGCCTGGTCGGTTCAATCGAGCGGTTCACACGGCGACGAACCGGTTTGTGTCCACGTGCGCGAACCGGTCTAGAACACAGACAAAAGGCTCCATTTATTTGATTCCTTTCTTCAATTTCTTTCCACCGAACCCTGCCCATACACCAAACCCTTCCTCCATCGGCAGCGACAGAACTCCGACGAATCATCGACAGTGACAGAGCTCCGGTGACGACGTATTCTTCTTCTCTTCTTCTCCTTTTCTCTTTTTCATCTCCTCTCCATTCTCCTACTTGACAAAGTTCCAAGACATTCTCCTCCGTAAAGCGGCGGATGTAGATAGAAAAGAAACCCATGAATAACAGAACCATCAGGAGCACCACCACCGTCAGAGCCATAAAGGAATCGAAGGTCGACATGGGTTGCAGGGGTTTTCTAGCTGTCGCTGCCCAGGCGATGGCAGGGGTTAGTGGCGGAACCGCGTAGTAATCTTGGGGAAGAGACGGAGACTCATTGGGGTCGGGGGCATCTCTGTCGAGGAGTTTCCGGGTGTAGGGTTTTTTCACCGGTAATGGCTGACTTGCTTTTGGCTTTCCCGGCACCAGAGAGCTTTGCGTAGAGTCCTGCAAAGAACCCTGCTTCAACACGTGCATTCCATCTCTCTCTTTTTCTTCTTCCCCTCCATAACCGGTTCAACCAACTAAAATATTAATAACGAAGAAAATTTCCGTTAATTCGCGGTTAACTTGTGTTCGCCTCTCATTCGCGAGTGTGCGTTCTCTTTTGTTTTTTCGCTTCATGGGACTACACAAGAGGGATAGCCCATCTCCATTCCC